ATCAGGAGAAATTTCAAAATTTATCTTAAAACTTTTAGCATAAGGTTCAGGTCTCCAAATAAAATGCTTCCACCTTTCAAACAATCATTTCAGACAAAAATTAGGGCTAAAAGAACAGAGAAGGAAATGGGCATTTACAAAACGCTTCTTTTCCAAAAAGCAGACAGTTATCCCAAAATCTGAGTAAAAACTATAAAATATCCAGAAATATATTTTTTTTTAAATCAAACATAGAACACTGGCCCAAAGAAGAGATTCTCTTCTACATAAGTAACAATAACACTAAGCATCTCTGCCTTCAGATTTAGTCTGTTTCTCCAGCTTTTTTTTTTTTTGGAGCAACTCTCACCATAGGTTGCCAGCAGTCTTGCATCGGTTTCAGCATCAAATATTTCAGCTGAAGAAAGAAACTACATAAACAGCACAGTCTGATTCAGTCAACTTCACAGAAAAAAAGAATAAAAGAAAGAAACGAACCTAGCAGCAAACAACAAGGGAAGGGCAAACTTCCAGATGAGGGAAGCAAAGGAGCTCTAATTCATCACTCTTGCAGCTATCAGATGGTTAACAAATTGAGATGAGATACTTCTGAGCCTTTCAGCGACTTTCGCTCTGGCAAACTTAAAGGATTCAGAAGTGCAGCTGGAATACATATGGGAGATGTTGGAGAAAGTTGAACACTTGAATTCGTAACTCCATTGTGTGCTGGAAGAACTTCCTGCAGATGAGGCGCATCCCGTCAGTGACTCAGGGAGAGTCTCCGTCTGCTAACAGGCATGAATTTATCCTCTGAACTAGCTACCAGAAGTGACATGCTTTATGTTAGTGTTACATATGCAACAAGAATCTTAAAATAAAGCCAGTGGGGACATAATTTCCTTTTTGCTTTCTGTAATCTCTATACTACAGCAACTCAAATGGAAAAAAACAAAAAACAAAACAAACCACCCACTGATATTTTGGATGAAACTAAGATTTCACATTTGGATCAAAGTGTTTCATTCAACACAATTTTTTATGCAGAAATAATTTTTAAATCAAAAGCCAAATACATATTTAGGTTATGCTCAACATTTAAAAAAGAATTGGTATTAATAGAATATTATTGTGCCGGGTTCATCCCATTAGACAATCAGTTACCAGTTCACTTGCTTAATACTCAGCTACAACACAAACTCAACCACAAACCTTTACTATACAGCCTAAGTTACTCAAGCATCTTCTCCAAGTTATCTTTACTCCTCTATGAATATGTTAAAACTCCTTTTTCATATAAAAATTATCTTTATGGTGGTTTGAAATTAGCATGCAGAAGATGGAACAGAGGGGACAAAGGGAAAACACTACAGAGGAAGCACACAAGCCCCTGTCTCCCCATCATCCACTTCACTCCTGGAATTCAGAACATTGCAGCTACCTGTAAACTGGAGCTATTAAAAGCTACTGGAGAGGTGCACTCAGAGCTGAAAAATTGAGAAGATGACAAAAAAGGGCCATAAAAATCACAAATGTAAATTAATAATCAAATATACACACACAACAAGGAGACAGATGGCAAGTAATTTTCCCCAGTGCACTTACACTTGTTCTTCTAGTGCACGTATTTGGGTCACTTGCTAGATTAAATCTCATGTGGCAGACCCAACAGAGGTACTGTCAAATGTGTATGGGCACAGCCTGTTTTAAAGTGATGCAAGTCTGACACTACAGGGTGAAAACATTTAACAGGATTTTTGCAACACAGTCTGGAATATAGCCCAGTGACTTTGAAACAGGGCTGATGGATATTTTCTATGACCAGCAAGCCTGCCCCATTCAGGCCTGCTAAATAAAATGCAGTGTAAGCCAGAGAAAGTTGGTCTGTGCTACCAAATTTCATGGAAGAGCCCTACACAGACAGAGACAAATCTGTACTCATTTTCCAGAACACTGATTTTGACAATATGCCACTGAGACAATACATCACTCAAGGTTAAAGCTTCCTACCATACTCCCCCTAAAACATGCCTTTCTTCTAAGATTTAGAAGAAAGGATCACCTCAACAGATGAGCTGCTTCTGCCATGTTTACTGTCACAAACAATGCATGACCTCAGATACACAGAGCACTGAATCTTCCCCTCCCCAGCCATGCACTGACAGTGACCTGTCAGCACAGGCCACATGAAGGATGACACCACTCACAGGTCAAACTGCCAGGTGGGCTGGTGGGGCTTAAATGCCAGGCAAAAATGGTCATGCCTATGTGCAAGCCTAATTGTAGCAACGGGCCTCCCTCCTGTAAGACTGGTAGACACTGACATGAAACACAAACTGTGTGTGCAGAGATTAGCCCCCCCCAGCCTTTAATCTGGCAAGAAACTGGATTTAACATGGTGCAAGAAGCAAAATCTTCAACATCTGCAGGAATGGAAATTGCATTCCTTTCTACCCTGTTACCAGTTTCAAGATGATTTTGCTTAACAATAAATAAACCTTTATTAACCAGCAATGTGAGCTGCAGTAGCATTAAGTACTTCCCCCCGCTTCTTCATTCATCTCTTGTTTTGGGTTACTACATACCACATTCAGCTTAAAATAAATAGGTAAAAAGAGGGGGAAAAATATATCTATTTGCTTCTCGCTCTAGCTGAACAAGTAGGTTTTGAGCTGGGGAGGTGAAACTCTAAGTAATAATCCACACACGTAACTAGAAAATATCACAACTGTCTGTAAGAATTACAGTGGTGGGGACCAGGGTGGCAAAAGCTTGTGTTTTCTATGTCTACAGAACAAAAAAAAAAAAAAAAAACAAAAAAAACCAAAAAAATCCAACAACACTGGCCTTTGTGTTTAGAAACTGACTAGAAACTGACAAGTGACACTTCCATTCAAGGCAATCAATGAGTCAACTGCTCAAAAATATTGGGATTGCACTGACTATGTGCAATATATCTGCATAGCCCGAAAGAAACGAGTTAAGCAGATTAATGACAAAAAGTAAGAACCTGTACATTTGCTCACTCAACTTCCTCAGGCTTATAATTCATGCTATTTCAGTTTAAGTGGATAAAGAGTGAGAAACAAAATACTGAATCCTTTGGTACAGAGTCAAAGCCCAGACTACAAGCAAGTTTGTTATATCACTGTCCATAGAGTCTTTAGTTTGGTGCCGTGCTGCTGCTAAAATATTACATCTTACCATTGGAAAATTGATTTTGCTATAAGAAGTTTTATGATGCCACTTAATCTTGCCCAACCTACATAAAAAAATACAGAAAGCAATTACAGACACCCTTTATGTAGTAAGTTTGATCACTATATTAAAAAGAGAACAGTTGATGTAATTTCAATATAATAGCAAAGGAAGTAGAATAAAAACCATGGCAATATGCTGCCCTCCTGAAACAAGACATTGCTGGTTCTTAGCTTAAATGCACAATCTTGGTTCAGTTCAAGTTAGTAGCATGATCCATCTCCTGCATGTGTCCTGCAGCTCCAGCATCGACCTCCTTTTCTACTGTTACATTTCAAGCCAGCTCCTGCGGGGCAGCAAGATTCTGTGATTACACTTAAAAGAATACTCTGGGTCTGAGCGTGCCTCTTTGAATAGATAACCCTTTCTAGTTCAACAATTACTAGCACGAAACAGCCCTTTCTGCCTTGTCCCTTCCTGTGCTGCAATTGAAAAACATCCTAATTAGGTGACCTCACATACAGATATGCCATTAACTGGCTTTCACAGCACTCTATTCAATGCCTAAATCTTAGCTACAATGATGAGGAGTACTTTATTTAGTTAGGAGGTAAACACATTAACACAGCAATCTTTTAGAATACCTTTTAAACAGTGTGAGATTAGCACTAACAAAATTTGTGTGTGATTATCTTTTCCACACTTTCAGAGATGACACTCAAATACCACTTTTTTCTAACTGTATTAAAGCACACTCAGGCAAGATCAAGAGTAACCTTGACCTCCACATCAACAGCCCCAGAAAGTACTTCATACTGTTTTCCATGCCTAGTCCATTTGAACTGGCCTGCAGGACAGGCTTTTAGGCTTGTGCTTAAACAATCCAGGTTTTGCCCAAACACTGCAATATATGCTCTGTAGGGTTATGTAAATATTCCACAACTCCTGCAGTTCTTAACTATAATAAGCAGGTTTAAAATAGCGTTGCTGTATCAAAATATTCACTACTTCCTATTGATCCAACTCAGACTTCACATTTCAGGGAAACAGCAGACTTTTCTGTTTTATTGTTTGTGAATGAATCGTCAAAACTTTCAAATAGGTTTAAGAAAAATCACTTAGAAAATTGGAAGACTCACAGAAACCTAAAACCACTTAATTGCTCACACGGCTTCAAGTACATGTAAATGACCTGGAGGGCTGAAGCCTGAATTGCCACATTCTGCAGCCAACTCTGTTCCCAGCCACAGACCTATACCAGGACTAACACTTGGCATTTGCTTCCAGTATAATAGGTTTAATAGTAGCAAGCCATGAAAACAGGGGGGAGTATTCTGGAAGCGGTGACAGATCTTAAACGCGGCAGGTGCACTGTAATACTGCTTAAGGGAGGAAAATTCCAAGTTTAGTAACTAATTAGTGCAGGACAGGCAGGTTATTTTCCAAGGCAAATGCCTAATCAAAGACGCATCTGACCCTTTCGCATCCCATCAGCGCACCGGGAAGTTCAACTCATCATCCTGATCAGGCACATCCCTCATCCCACCTTGCCGTGCTTCCTCCCGTTTCCTCCTCCCGCACTACAGGCTCCAAGGCACCAACCCTGCCTGACAGCCGCTCAGGGAGTTCGCTGGCACCGTGCACCTGAGCCATGCCGTAAGACCCTCCGCTCACACACCCACCAGGGCACCCCTCGCTCGCTCCCGCAGGGGCAGCCCCGCACGCGGGGCCAGCCGCCGGCTCCCGCAGGATTCCAGCCGCGCCGCCGGCACGGGACGAGGCCGGGAGAGCCGCGCCGGGCCGGGCCCCCCATCCACCCACCCGGCCCCGGGGCAGACGGGCTCCGGCCTCAGAGGAGAGAGGCTGATGAAACGCTGTCAAAGTCAATCCCGGCTCACTTTTTGGATGGTTTAATTCCAATGGAGCATGAATCACCCCAGGACGGTTAATAAGTTTAGCCAGGCGTGCTGTTCTCCCTAACAATACATTATAATTATGCATCTGTTTTAAATGCGATCGGATTAAGTCACCGGAAAAGGCACAAATCGGCATTTCCCCCGACTAAGAACGGCGCCTTTCCGCAGCTCCGGCGGGCAGGTACGGCCAGGAGAGGAGCAGGTGGGCAGCCCCAGCCAGCCCGGCGGCGCTCCACTCCCCGCGGCCGCCCAGCGCACGGCAACTTACCGCGGGCACTCGGTGCCGGCGGAGCGGGGGAACCGGACGGGAGGCGGCCGGGCACCCCGCTGACACCGAGCGTGAGGGACCAGCCCAGGACATGCCAACTTGCATCGCCGGGTCCCCTCCCGCTGCGTGGGGCCGGAGAGGATCGAGTCCGAGCCGTCAAAGCTCCGGGACCCTCCGGCGCCGCTCCGGGCACCAGGAGCGGGACGGCCGAAGCTCTGCTCCCGACAGGTGAGCAACCCCCGCCCGCCCAAGCCCCGCCGCTCCCCGCCCTACCTGTCATCGTAGCAGAAGTCGGCGCTCAGGGTGTTGAGGTACAGGGCGAGCCCCAGGGCGCTGCTCAACAACTCCGCGATCATCTCTCCGCCTGCCTCCGCCGCCGCCTCTCGCACCGGGGCAGCCTCCTGCCCTGCCCGGCCTCCCGCTCCAGCCCAGCCGCGCCTGCCCCTCGCGCCCCCCGGCACCGCGGGGCGCCGCTCCGCGCTCCGCCGGCGGCCACAGCCTGACGGCGTCCCCCGCTCCGCCGCCCCTACCCCATGGCAGCGGGGCGATCGGCGGCGACAGCGCAGCTGGGTTCAGCGGAGCGGGGCTCAGCGGAACGGGACTGAGCGGAGCGGGGCGCGGCTCCGGCTCCCGCCTTCCTCCCACGGCGCCCCGGCGCTGCCGCAGCTCCGCTCCCCGCCCGCGCCCCCCTCGCTGCCGAGCCGGGCGCCGCCGCCGAGGCTCTGGGAGCGCCCGCGTGGGGCGCCCCGGGCTCCCACCGCGCCTGCGTGCGGACCCGCCCCGCACCGCCCCTCGCGCCCGCCCCGCGCCCCGCCCCGCCCCGCGCGCCGGCGGCGGAGCCGGGCCCGCTCCCGCTCCGGCCCCGGGGCTCGGGCTGGGCCCTGGGCCGGGCCGTGTCCCGCTGCCCGCTGGGCACAACCAGGGCTTACTGCCCTTCCCCTTTGCTCCTTGTTCCATTTTCCTGTTCCAGTCTCTTTTCTCTTTGACTTTTTTCCCCTTTCTTTTCCTTTTTTTCTCGGTTCCCCTTTTCTTCCTTTCCCCATCTTTATTTCCCTTTTCTCCCCTTTTTTTCTCTTTACTCAGTCGTGCTGAATAGGTCAGAGTAGTAGCAAAGAGAAGGGCTCTACCTATATTGGGGATGGATGCCAGAGCAGGGGGCTCCACACTTGCCCACAGCGTGCTGTTTATCAGTGTGAACATCCATAGGGAGCACTTAGCTTAGCTTATAGTTAAGCAAAATCACTGAAACTTGGCAGAGAGGGTTGGAAACAAACACACCCCAAGGCAAGGAGTGCTGCAAGCTGGTGTTCCCTTGCTCCCTCAGGACATCCCCACAACTGCAGCTCTCGAGAAGAGGGGTGGCTATAGCCAGAGATGCACACTTTAGACTGGAAAGGAAAGCCAGCTCTGGAAAATAATGCACTGAAGCAATCTTCCAGAATTCATGGGATATAGAGGCATGAAGTTATGGAAAGGATTTGGGTCCATCAAGCTGATTATTTCTTTTTTATAGAAAGTTTTTAAAACATTACCTCCTTTCGCTGCTAGCCAGCCCTTTTATGTAACTGTTTCCTCATGATTTCCATCAAGTGGCACATCATGCTGTCCCAGAAGAATGGGAGTCTGTTCATCAAGCTGTGTCTAATAAATTGGGGAACTTTTAACAAGTTTTCTTTCTCCCCTATGTGATTATTTAATGCTGTTCTTTGCAACCTCGAAATATACGAAATGCATTAAGACCTCTTTTCAAGCAATGCTCAAAGTGCTCCTGGGAAGTCTGCCCCAAGTGTCACAAACATCTCAGCTGCTTCTACTTAGATTCAGGGAGTGTGTTATCACCATCAGTGGCAGTAATTGCAGACATGGGGGGAGGGTGCATTTTTTTCAGAACATTAAAGCTTTGAGGGGCCTTATTGAACCCATTAGCAGATCACATTGATCTGGCATTAAACTTTTCAGCCTGAAGCACTGAATATAGTAACCTAGATTTTAAAGAGTTGGTACTCTTTGTCAGGAGACCTGTGATCCTTTCTTTCAGACACCAATTCTCAATATGCTTCTGGAGCTGCTGCCAAGATCCCAGTCATCACGACTTCGTCCTCCTTGCTGCAGTGGAATTGCTGAATTCACACACTTGGTTTGTACAGCTCCTTCTGTAGAACATCCTAATAAGTTCTGCATAAAAAGCAGTATAATTGCTGCTGAGTCATAGTGGCAGAGGCCTCTTGTTATCCATCAAAAGCATATGTATTTTTCCTTCAAAGAGGTAGGACTACAGACTGGGGTGGATGGGGTCTGGCAGAAAAGCTTTAGAAACAAAATAGATCCTCCAGGGAAAAAAGTTTAACAAAGGCAGGCACTGTCTAATAAAAGCAAGTGTCAAGAAAGGGTGGGATGAAATGTGTAACCATGTAGAGTGCTTGTTCCCCAGGACAGCCCAAGTGCTCCAGGGTGACTGGAACCAGCCTGTCCAAGGAGATTTATCTACGCTACAAGAATCTACAAAGTCTGTATCTTGCAGACACATTTCTTGTTTCTTGCAGAAAGAAAGGGCAGCCTTCCTCCCAATGGCAAGAGCTGTCTCCAGTGGAGATAACCTGCTTTGTAAAAAGATACGGATGGCAACATGTGCATGCAGCACCCCCCTGTCAGCTCTGGGACTCCACAAGCCAGGGACACGCCAGGGGCAGCAGCCAGAAAGAGCCAGCGCAGAAACCTGGAGACAAATTGAACAAAAAAATTATTGATGCTGTTAAACAACACCACAAAAGAAAACAAGAGAGTAGAAATCAAATAATGATAAAAGAATTCCTTCTCTTCTTAGAGTTAGTTAAAAGTATTAGGTGCATGTAGTTATGAACAACATGATATTTTACTTTATCATTGAGAGATACCAGACAACATTCTGACTCACAGCAGATTTACAATGTGATGTACAGGAACCACAAGGTGTCAGAAGAGCTAATTTAGAAGTTCAGATCTGTCACTAAGCAAATATTTTGAAAGCAGTCTTCACCTCCAGAAAGTCACAGACTGTGGTGCCAGGGAAGAGGGAAGAGGTGTAGGATTGTAATAACACAAAATAATAACAGTAATTGTAAAGATAACTAGAGTTACTTGGTCTAACAGCTGTTCTACTGTGTAGAGCCTAGCAGACAAATTCACTTTGTTTTTCTTTATTGCAAATATGACAATCAAAGTTATCTGTTTCAATACCAGTTGGGAAATTTCTTCATTAAAGACATTATGGACTCTGAGTCACCGTGCTACAAGACATTCCACCTAAACGGTGCCTGAAAGATTAAGTTGTGGCACAGCATGTAGAAATACATGTCTGTCACAGTGACAGATTTGGTTAACTGGTCACTGAGTATGAGACCTTAAATGTCAGGGTAATGCATGTGGCACAGATCCCTCAACAGATTAGATTAGACACCTCAATTTCTATACACTGGGTTCATTTGCTGGAGCTTGTAAAAAATATTTGTGCCAACTTCCTTAAAGCATCTGAGAAGAAAAAGGCTAACCCCTTGAAAGCTGCTGGGGTTTTTGATTAGAATTAGGCAACTGGATATTAAATGTTACTATAGGAATAATTGGATAATAAGTGGATTTTTTTTTTGCCAGTTCTTATGCTCAGTTACTATCAAAGAAATGTCATAACATACTGTGCCTAATCTTGAACAATCCAAATGACACCCAAAGATGTGGCTTAATGAACCTCAGAAATGTAAACTTTGGTCCATTTTGAAACACCCATGCAGTCAAGAATAAACTGGTGTTATCTAAGGAAGGAAAAATATTTTATTTGATCAAAAATGCAGAAAAAGGAGTAGAGGAGAATGCTTTAGCCAAGTGCTGCTTTCACAATTAGTCACTAATCCATAGAGGTAATGTTGTTGGATTCTGTGGACTAGGATCCAAGCTGTTGTTTTCCTTTCATGCTAACAAGATCATGTTAATCTTCAAAGACACCAGTGTTTCTGCTTTCTCTAAGAAATTCCTTTTTGGTTTTTTTTTTTTTGGTTTTTTTTGTTGTTGTTGTTGTTTGTTTGGTCGTTTGTTTTTGGTTTGGTTTGGGTTTTTTTGCTAGCGTTATGGTAATAATAATATCAGCAATGACAGCCAAAGTAAAAATAAGTTGCAACTCCAAAACTGTAAAATTTCATGGAAATCTGTATGAAATATTGTAGATATGACAGTAAAAGTTAGATAGATGCAGGAAAAACAAGCACACACAGGACTTGCATCAGTACTTGGAAGAGATTTTAACTGAACACATTTCTTAAGGATGTACATTTCTGGGAGGCACCAGTTCCTACTTTAGATCAGTCAGTGGAGCTAGAGTATTGCTGCAGAGCTGGAGAGAGAGAGGGGGAGAGAAAGGGAGAGAGAAAAGCGATGCATTTTTAACTTGACCTAATCTAATTATGCAGACTCTCTCTACAGAGAAAAAAAGATTCTTCAAGGGAAGTTTCTTGTATGCACAAAACATGCAGGAGCATTTGTATGACTCATAGGTGAGCATATCACAGTGGCAGAGAAAAAGGTAATTTTTAGTCTTTTTTGAATTTTCAAGGATTATTTTCTTAATATTACTCCATTCTAGACTAATCCTAATCTGCTTTGCATATTTATCTCCCCTGTCCTTTGAGATAGCTCAGAGAGAGATCAAAAAGAGTTTTTAATCCTTCTTGTTCACAGTAAGTTGACAGTATAAACTTACTAAATGCAGATATGTCTATTTGTCATCTCCCAGAACATGATGCTCTTACTGTTTTTCTCATGCTTTATAAAAATAGCAATATGCCAGTTTTGGTATTTGGAATTTGCTTGGTTTGATTTCATTTGGTTTTGTTAGGTTGGGCTTTTTTGTAGTTCTTTTTATCAAAACAGCTCAAAGAAATACAGATTCTTAAAAGATGGCTCTGGAAGTAAATTAGAATTAGCCTCATTTTATACAGGTGGAAATCAAGGCAACTGGCATTTGTGTCAGTTTATCCAAATCATATGAGAACTCTACAGCAGAAGAGGAATCTATCCAAGGTCCCAGCCATGATTCCAAGTCATTCATTTGCTTTCATCATGAGATCATCCTTCCATTCACAGTAATTGATATTTCCTTAGACAAAACACAATGGAATTATCTCAGGGATTAATTTGGCCTAGGACACTAATTCTGAGAAAAGTTCTACTTGACAGATGGATGCCTGCAACATAACCAAGAGGTCTGTGGTGTGCAGCCTGGATTTTGTGCAGGTGGAGGATAGGGAATATGAGTTGTGTATCATATCCTGCCTCTCATCATTTCTTGGCAGCTGTATTGCTCAGTAGATGGAAAAGTTTCATCAGCAGCTGAAAATCTGTTCCTTGTCATCTTCCTTCCCATAGAAAGAAGCGAATCATTGTGCTGTCTGTAAGTCCTCTACTTTTCAGGCTATTGACACTTCCCTTGTGATGCAGATGTTGAAAGACAGTTTTTACTCTAGATCTGTCTACTTCTACTTTATTTGTCCTTCAAATGTACAGCCTGGGATATTGGCTGTGAAAATTGGACAAAAAATGATACATCTCTATGGCAGCAAGATCAGATCTTCATCCCACAGCAGAGCAAAAGCAGCCAAAGATGCAAGTCTAATTTCCACCTCAATCCCTGCAGATTTTCTATGGAATAACCTAATTTACTTCTTTACCTCAGTACAATCCTGGCTTCCTGCTGTATAAGCATGAAGTAAAGCCAGGAAAACCATGATTACTCTTATTTAAGAGGGAATATGTCAACATTACCAAAACATATCTAACACCGGCACAAGCACAATTCTCAAGAGTTAAATAAACAAGGGGAAATTATTATAGGGAGTAAACCTTTGAACCCCTCTAAACAGAGTCAGTTTGATTTTTCATAATAATATTGGAACTAAATGACAGTTTTTACTGCAATGTAGACAAGCCCAGAGAGGATAATTCAAGTAGTTCTAGGTTCTTAATTAACAATATAGCAGAAACAACAACTAAATTAGCAGGAATTAATGTTTCTTCTCATCTGCTTGCTCAATTTGAGGAAACCTTCTTTGTATACATGAAATCCTGAATTAAAATCTCGGATGGCCTCTGTCTCCATACTTCAAAATATAATTAGCATATGCTAGCAATAAAGTCACATTAAATTTAATTTTTAATGAAATAAACACACTGCATTTTTAGTGGTTTAAGGACATTTCTATGTTAATTTGGAGATAAGGTAATTTCTTCTTTTATTTTCAAATATTGTAAGATGCGAAATATGAAACATGTGAGGGTTTTTTATACACAAGATTTGTAGCAGAAGTTTAATCAATCCTGTGGAGCATTTTCATCTTTTAAGCGATGCAGTGACTCAGGAAATGCAGGTGACCCAGATTTCTCCCCTGCTGTGTCACACAAACAGATAAATACAGAATTGTATACTTTCTGTGAACAATGAGTTGATGGCTTGACCACTGGCTATTGCATATACATGCTGGATTCCAATTACAATGATGTGTGCCATAGGATGCAATGAAATGAAGGTTATAATCTCCAGTGTGCACACCAGAAATAAAATTCTTTGGAGACTCTATTCCAGTACTTTTCCCTCCCATGTACATTGGCAGAGGGGAGAGAACTCCCTGTCTTTTGCAAAGTAGCAGCTTTCTAATTTATTTAATATCTTCTTATTTTTTTATTCTAGTAATGTTTGCTTACTTTGTTTGCTTGGGAAAGTACACCTTGGAAAATATACCTAGTGCTATCTCCCATGAAATTTACCATCACCAAACTGGCCTGTCTATACCACGGTGTTTCCACACTGGTAATAGCAAATTTGGATTTTGATCAATCTCTGCCCACCTTGAGGAAAACTTACCATCAGATTGTTTTTGTTATAATTTTTAGATAAAGTTGGTAAAAAGAATGTTATTCCTTTCTAATTCCATTAGGAATTTTTGGAAAACAGCAATGTCCTACTGAATACATCTCATGACTTCCTGTGTTAAGTCTTTAATTTAATTTCCTCAATCTGCTAATGAGTAAGAGAGGCAGCCTCCATGATCAATAAAAGGATTTTCCCATATGCTGGTTACCGTGTGATTAAATCCTTATTTTGTAGGGCAGGTACATTGTCAGAGATTTTGGATCATGTTTGCAGCTGGTATAACTTGTCACATCTTCAACAGAACTGTTGCAGTTTCAATCATCTAGTGTCTATTCCTTAATACAGAGTGCGGCATGGAAAGAGATAAACAGGTCTAGAGAATGTTGACATTTTAAATTCCTTCCTACCATATTTTGCACAAGAAAGAGCATTAAATTTGGCTATGTAAATAGAACCCAGATTTTAAAATAGCCAGGTTCTCTTATGCATCAAGGAGAAAGAAGGATATAAACCAGAATTATTGGCTTTCTGTGATATTTTATATTCAATTTTCTCTTGTTACATTCATGCCATGTAATTGCGTGCACATGTGTACATGCGTGGTCCTTATTGTGCAGGGTTACAGCTGGATTCTTGTCCACATGCCAGAGCTCTGCCGGGGTTCGGGGAGCTGCTGCCTCACTCTCCTTTATTCTGTGAGCAACAATGAATGCTCCTTCCTATGTCTGCCAAATGCATGGTTTGATCCCATTGATATCCATTTGGCATCAGGCTGTTACTCGCTAACCCTTCACCACAGCTATTAATCACACAAACATGCAAGGTAGTTCTGCTCAGTCGTCTTGTTGCTCTTAAAGTCCATTGCTGAAATACATTTTCCCGGGTGATTCCTGCCTCTCCAGCCTATTCCCAGCACCCACTATGTATAGACCCATCCAAATCGCCGGGCATGTTCCAACTGTTTTGAAGAAACTGTCTTTTCCATTACCTCAGAGTTACCCCTCTTTCCCTGGATTCACCCTCAGCACTGCACTGTTGTACATTGCAGCATATTTTAGCGAGGGACTTGGAAGAAACCCACACATTTTAGAATACCATTTTGAAAATTAAACTGACTGCAAATTCTTCATTCTTCTTATAGTTTGATCTCAGAGACTTGCCTAATTTGGGCCGGTTTAGACAGTTTCCATTAGCAGCAGCAGATGGTAGTTGGCTGAAAGGATCCTGTGACACAATCCTCTGTGTGTACAAATAACCCACAAACAACCCACAAAGTACTTTTTTCCCCTGGCCCTGGCTGAAATCAAATAAGAAAAAATGTTCTTTATTTGCAATTCCTACCCTCCTTCAATAAGAATTCAACCTTGAAAGGGTTCCGACAAGTTAGTCATGAATACTGCCAGATAAGCGTTTCCCCAGGGCCACCAAACAGCACCAGCCAGGCAAAAGGACTACCAAACACGACTCCAAACTGCTGCTGGTAAACCAAGAGCTTTACCAGCAAGAAGGAACTGAGCCACGAGCCGATTTTGTGAAGGAGGAGCAAATCCTTCGCTAACTTACATCATCTTTGCTTTGGTACAAAGACACCAAAGCTGGTGTGGCTTACATAGGTTATCTGTAAATGTATTTCCATCTTTGCCATACAGTCTATGGGGAGAGTGCTATAATGTTATTTATACACACACCAAAAAAGAGAAATGTCTACTTTTTGCACATATTTGAACTCGGCTTGAGAGAAAACTTCTGATAGTCTCTATAACCTGCTTTCTGAAAGCAAACCTTCAGTGGCAAAACATATGGAATAACAAATTATTTTTCAGTAGAGAAAACAAACTCTTGTCACAGGGACACATTTGTCTGATTCATATTCTCCAATGTTCACTTTTATTGCAGCTTTTCAAGCCAAATGGTTTAGTTTGAGTTTAAAAGTTTTCTGATGTTTAAAGTTTGGCAGTGGATAGACAAAAACACTCACATAGCAGAGGACATGATGGAAAAAAGAGAGAACAGGGTTGCAATGCTGAGCTCAGGGTCCTGCTGCAGGCAGTTCTGGAGGCCAGTACCCATTAAATGCAGTGCCCATTTTCCCAGTTGTATTCCTCAAGGTATTTCTTCTGGTGTTCCTATCA